AGATGGTGGAGTTTCCTCTAAACATCTCTGGCATTCAATCTTTTTTCAAGAGTTCAATCTTTATCTCATCAGACCAGGGAGTCCTTCATTTGCTGCTTCGCAAACTCCAGATGGCTGCCATGTGACTTTTATTAAGAAAAGGGTCTTGTCTGACCACTCCACCAAACAGGCCTGATTGGAGGAGTGATTCAAAGATGGTCGACCTTCTGGAAGGTTCTCCTCTCTCCACAAAGAAACACTGGAGCTCTGACTGAGCGACCATCGGGTTCCCGGTCACCTCCCTAATTCTCTTCCCTGCCAATCGCTCAGTGCAGATGGCCAATTACCTCTGGGAAGTCATGCTGGTTTCTAACTTCTTCCATTGACCAACGATGTAGGCCACTGAGCTCAATGGGACTTTCAAAGTAGCAGAAATGTTCCTGGATTCTCACCCTGTGACTCAGGACAGTCCTGTCTCAGAGGTCTGCAGACAATCCTTTGACTTCATGCTTGGTGTTTGATGGTGTGGTCAACAATGGGACCTCATATAGTCAGGCGTGTGCCTTTCCAAGTGAAGTCCAAGCAACTGAATTTACCACAGGTGGACAACATTTAAGCTATGGAAACTTGTCAAGGACGATTAGCGACATCTCAGTTTTGAGCTTCTTGGCAAAGGCTGTGAATGCTTTCAATTCCATGATTTTCTATTTTTTCAAATAAAGTTGCAAACATCAAAATATGTTTTTCTCCACAACATTTGGGGTATCTGTGCAAAACAATTTTGGGGAGAGAGATTAATTTAAAACAACTTGAAATGAGGCTGTGAGATAAAGTGAAAATGTTCCAGATGCACAGTATTTTAACTCAAGATGCCACTGCTTATCCTGCACTATATTTATCCCTGATTGAAGCCATCAGTAGAGTACTTGAAAGCATTCTTGGAGCACTAAAGTGTGTGTGCCCACCAACCAATGGGCACATTGGATATCTGATTAACTTTGGTTGTCATATTGATCTAATAATCTGCAGACTTCCTGTTGGGACTTGACATGTGGCCATTTAAAAGAGATTTGAGGGATGTGGGGAGGAAGATGGAGAGGTGTATCTTTTTTTTTTTTTTTTGCATCATGCTCCCTCCCATCCTTCCCCAAGACTAAAGTGCTGTGTGAAGATTTGGGTGTGAAAACAAGTGAGGTTTCGGTGTGTGGTGGCGTCTTGGGGTTTCAGTAGGAGCTGGTGTCAGATGGGGGCAGGAGGTCGCTCTCCCATCTCTCACTCAAAGGGGGATGGACTAGCAGATGTAGATTTGTGTATGTGAGAGTGTGTGTGTATGGGTGTGCTGTCATTTCTCACTTTGTAAGGCCCATTTATGATGCTAATACTACATTGTGAGGACAAACTCTTCCTTATGGGCCCCAAATCCCAGTCGTCATAAAAAAGAAGTGCTGTTCTTGGGTTACATTGGGTCTAGGGTTAGGCATGTACTGGTAATGCTTAGATTTAAGATAAAGGTCAGGGTTAGGCTATAGAAATGAATGAAAAATGAATGGATGTCAATGGAAAGTCCTTGTGAAAATAGAAAGACATACTCCGTGTGTGTGGGGGGGGGGGAGGGGGGGTGCGCGTGTGCGTGTGTGTGCATGTGTGTGTAGGTGTAGATGTGTATGCGGGCATGTGTGTGTAGGTGTGTGTGGGTGGGGGCTGGGAGTGTGTGTGTGCGTGGGTGTGCGCGTGTGTTGCAACGGCATGTATGTTGCCTGTGTATAGGTAGGGTTTCATCACAATGTTCTGAAGTGTCAAAACACACAAATGCACACACAGATAACGTGGCTGACGATGCATGGAAGCTTCCCTCAGATGGAGCTTGTTAGAATGTCACAGATTTGATCCCTGTCGGGTTATGGCATTATTTATTCAGAGCCATATTACGCTTGTTTTGGCTGACAGGAAGTGCTAGCCCCCTGCTGATCTTCATGAGGCCCATTTAATACAACATCAGATAATTTCTCTGCTCCCATGTTAACATCTTTATTTCTTAATGTCATCCTACTCCTATTGTTCATATTATTTTTATTTATTGTACATGTATACATATACAAATGTATGTAGTTGAGGGTAGGTTCACTGTCTTCAGGAATGGTTAGGAAAGTCCAGCTTCTACGTGTGAAGAAAGTTGGCTTTAGACTATCACATAAAACAAACACTTATATATAAAAAAGCATCAAATAATCTGTAGTGTGAAATGTAAAATAACAACTTGGGCCAAGCCTTAAACAATTACTATTGCATGAACCAGCTAAACTGTGACAAAATCATAAATGAAGGTAGTAAGATGCAGGATGTAAGATGTCTTAGACATTGGCCATAGATGTAAATTGTTTTACATCTCCAAATTAATCTAGAAATCAAAATTAATCTAGAAATCACAAATTAATCTAGAAATCAAATTAATCTCTAAAAGAATAATTTATGTGTTTCTGTATCAGTTTTTTTTTTCTCTGTGAAGTTGGCAGTTTTGGTTATGGAGACAAATATTTTGAGCTGTCTTCCTGATACCAAAATGTTAAATCATATCAAATGCAAGAAAAATAGTTGATGCACTTAAAAGGGACGGTAATTAGTGAAAGATCTAAGCGATACTTCTGTATGCGTGGTTGCGCGTGTGTTAGTGTGTGAAAACGACATAATTCTTTCTTCTGATACACACACATTTGAGATGTGATTACTGCACTGATTAATTAGATTTTCTATACTTTCATTTTAAGAGAAGCTACTTGTAAAAAAGGAAAACAATTTACATCTATGGCCAATGTCTAAGACATCTTACATCCTGCAGACTCAACATGGAACTGATTGAAAAGTGATGCATTAAATGTAACATAACATTTGCTTGAGATAGTTTGAAAAACGAGGCCCACTTCCATGTAAAAGACAAAACGCTGAAAACCACCAGCACAAAATGGCTGCTGTAAAAAATGGCTGCAGATGGGAGCTGCGTGGCAAGGTGCAAAAATCTACAGAAAAAGCAGGGAAGGAGGAGTGGGTGACGGGAGGAGGGAGAGCAGCCAGTCAGTGGATCAGTCACTCCAGGCCTGGCCTCTCAGCAGGGGGTTGTGCTCGGGGCGCGATCACAGGCCTGCTGCCACGCTGAAGCCTTCACAGGCACACAGTGACAGATAGGAGGCTGCTGGCACCAGGTCACTTCACTGATTCACCCCAGCACTGCTTCATCATAGCAATTCTCTCTGGCATAGATGGTCCTTTAAGCAAGCCTGACCTCCATGTAGGCATTATCAACTCATTTCCAGGTATACAGCAAAATACTTCCTATTGCTTGTGAGTGACTAAAAATGTTTCTCTCTTAGAATCCTGAAGACTAACTATGAGGGAGTGTACTACTGCATCTCTTCAACTTTAGCAGTTTGTTTTTGTCTTATTTTTTGGCATATATAGTAGTACTCACTCAGTGCTTCACTGTCTCTTTATTAGGACAAAGTCTTTGAGATGTCTTGCCAGAAGAGTAGTCCCACTTCGGTCTTATTTTCCTGATACTGAGTCGCCAGCGCAGTATGTCACTTCAAACCATATAAATCAATGACATTTTTATGTTTGAAAACTCAATGGCTTTTATAGAGCCAAGAAATAACACGGTACATTTATTTTAGACGTTGTTTAAACCATGACTGTTGTAAACACTGCAGTGTCCTACTTTCAGAGGTGGGCAGAGTGCCCAAAAATTTTACTCCAGTAAGAGTAGCACTTCTTCAACAGAAATTTACTCAACTAAAAGGGAAAAGTAACCGTCCAAGAAATTACTCAAGTAAGAGTAAAAAAGTGTTTGGCGGAAAGGCAACGAAAGTACTGAGTAACTCAGCAATTTATCAAACATTTAATACTTAAAAATTACACAATCAATTGGTCTAAAACATAAATTTAGTGGAATTTTTTATATTTTAAAGACAGTAATGACAGTAATTCTTATTAGTAACAAATATTTCAAATTATATTTAAACAGCATGTTTACTCTCTGTTTTAATATGACTTGTGTTTGAAAGCTCATGACGTATTGAGCTTAAAGTAGTTTGCTTTGGAAGTGGCTTGTGAACAAACCCCATGTAAAAGCTTGTTGTCATAAATTTAGCTTTTTCCTTTAAACTTCAAACGTTTCATTTCATCTGCGCACTCCACAGGTTTCTGCTACAACAAACAAAGCAAATTAAATGTCACTCATAACTTGTTGACATTCTGTCTATGTTTTATGAACCAGGTTGAAGATGATATATTTAAAAGACAGAGCACCGCAGTTTCACATTTTACTTTGTGGTTTTAGTGAGCAGAGCTTAGGTGATGCCAGGATATGAACAACTAGCTCTGTTGAGCTGATGTTTAATATTAATCCTAATATTAAACATTTAATATTATTCTTAATATTAAATGTTTAATATTAATCCTAATATTAAACATTTAATATTATTCTTAATATTAAATGTTTAATATTAATCCTAATATTAAACATTTAATATTAATCCTAATATTAAACATTAGGATTTTTTTTTTACTTTCCAGACTTTAGCTGCTATTTAGAGTTTTTTACTTCCAAAGTTTAAAGTTGGTCATCCCCAAAGTATGTGGGCCTAGCAAAAAAAAAAAAAGATTTGATAACTTTTAACCTTTCATATCTTAAACAATCCTCTAAGATCCATTTTTGTTGTCTGCAGTATGGAGCTTGATATTTTTAGCACGTTTGCATGAGAACTGATTAAAGAGGCTGTAGTTATCAGGGTGCTCTTCACTTTTACTTCACTAAAATGTAAGGACTTTATATCTGGTTAACATGGCTAAATATTCATTAATTTTCAAGAATGTTTGACCCTACAATATTAAACAAATCACTTACCTACAATCATTTATAATAATAATGAACCGATAGAGCAGACCTTGGAACCATCTTCAGTGCTTGGGTTCAATTACGTCAGATATATCAACATTCTGCACTCTGGTTTTCTGTGTCTTTGCCACAGCAATGGTACACCAGCAGTATGAATCTTATTGGAACATGGCTGACTGACCGTATGGACCTGCAGCTGCATGTCTACCAACTGAAGATACTCATCAGGATTGTCAAAGTGAGAGCAACGCACCAATGTCTGAATACACACCAATTTTGTAAACTAATCACATGATTACATGAATACTCATGAGAATATACAGGTATGAAACAGAAATAAAAGTATAAATTAATATTCACTTCTTTTCTAAAGTTAAACCTAACTTAGAGTACAATCCCATACGAAAACTAACATTTTAAGGTGTTCTACAATTATGGGCCTACATAACACACCAAATGTCTCCTTCATCCAACTGCTGATGGAAACTTCCCAAATTTCACCCCCACACAAGTCAGCTCTTTGATTGTGCAGCAGCCTATCAACATTAATCACTAGCATTTTTGTATAAATCTTTTTTCTTTTCTTTTTTTACACAAAGTAAGAATGTCCTATTTGTGACAAAGAAAAAGTTTTTAAAAATGATTTCCTCGCGTCTTTACTGTCTGTTGTTCTTTGTGACAGAAAAAGTACCGTGATTTCCGTCTCCAAGGAGTTCTGGACTCAACATTGAACTGTAAGATGTATGAGACCGTAAGAAATCGTCTGACCTTAGAAGAAGCTACCGCTTCGGTGAGGGAAGGAGGGATGCAAGGCATTACAATGAGGGACAGCGATGAAGATGACAATGATCACTAGATCAAAGATCTGCTTACTATCAGAATGTCAAAATGGTATGGAACGCTCCAATAACCCCAAGTTGTCTTTTCTTGAGTTCAGAACAGATTATCCAGTCAATCCGCTTTATAGTTTTCTCTTTTTTTCTGTCAAATTTCACATTCTAATGGTCAATTAATAAACATTTCTGTAAAAGTTATTACAAAATGACAATGCTTAATGCTGATCAAAAACTGTTATCAAAATGTAAACAGCACATGATCTCTCACTATGCTGACCAACTTTTCATCGGTCTCTGAAACACAAAGCAGCTGAAGAAATATGAAATCCTTTTCACCTGTTTTGGCTACTGAAACTTGAAAACCCCTAAATAGCAATCTACAAACAAGTGATTGGTGTCTTAAAAAAACTGATAATTGATATTCATCCCTGAAGTAAATGGCTCTGCAGTTGTCATGGCACCTATTATCAGTAATGGAAAGCATGACACGGTGCTAAGAAGGTTGATTTAGCGTTCGTAAAGACTCGTCGCTTTCACTGGTAACTTACTCGATTGGCTCTCAGACCCGAATCGCTGCTATATTTGCTTCATTTGATGTGAACATTTGTCTTCTCAGATGAGGCCCCCCAAACCATAGAAACCACCAGTTCACTCCAGAAAATGTTATATTGGTTAAAGTATCAACATGCAAAAGAAATTAGTCACTTAGATAGCAGACCTTACCATAGGTCTAACACATACATTCAGTTTAAACCAACTTTGAAAGCAACAACTATTGAAACATTATTAAGGGTTGTAGTTGAATTATTCATCCTACTACAGATGAGTCTGAAAAATATTTGACAGTAATTGAACAGATAAACTCTTGGTGGCATTTAGACTGTTTTCTTTCTGCTGATTTTACATCAGCCTCCCACAGTCCTGGATATGGTGATGTGACGTGTTCTCCATATGAACATTGGTTGGAGAACTGACGCCAATATTCATGTTTGTTTTTTTGCAGTAAATGGTTTTTGTTTTTTGTTTGTTTCTTTTTACGGGGAGAGAGATTCGGATCATAAACCAAATTGTGACAAAAACACCCAGAAGTGAGAGAAAATTGTTCTTTTGCTATCATTTATGTTTATCAGACATCTGTCCCCTTAGCAGGATTTTGAAAAACGTCAACAAATTGAGCGACACCAAGTTTTGCTTCTTTAAAAAAGATTCTCTTCGACACAGAACCCGTCTCCTTCCATTTACTAGGCTTTTCTTTGACATTTGTGTAAATTTTTGACATTGTCGTACAGCCAAAAATGTATCTTGTGGTCTTGAATGTTTAAGAAGCAAACTTGAATCTATCCATCTTTCAGCCAAATTTCTTGAAAATTCCCAAACATGTTCATTTAGTGATGTGTCTCGTTACAGTTTAAACCAAAAATTTACAGACAGCAAATAAAAAGACATGCACATTGTTGTCACTGTTTGCAGCTGAATCGGACCAAACCTTTTGTTTTAGGTTGGTTAGAATGACAAAAAGTATTTGTTTTTGTTAAATGCCAGAAAGCTTAGGAAAAGAAAGCAACGCAAAAGGTTTGACCCGAGTCATGAAGTTTAAAAGACAAATATCAACAATACTGAGCAAAAGTATGTAAACCTCTAAGTTGCAAAACAAATCTCTAAAAAAATATTGTCATAAAGTTTAGGCATTTAGCAAATAGATATCATTTTGGCAATTCTAAAGACCCCCCACGTACTTACAGTAGGTGACCATAGACCAGGTATTCTCAAAGGAGATGTGTGCTGGACATGTCGCAGTGTAGCACAATAAACTTCAGGAAAGCATTTTCACATTGAATCGTTTCGCATAAAACACTGAACTGATAAGGTTGAGAGAGTGACCGGGGCACCAAGCAGCTACATTGCCAGTAACGAGTTCTTTAGCTACCCTGATGGAGGAGAAACGGGTCTAAACGCCCAACTAGATCATCAAACTTTCTAATATCCATGCGGATTGTGGAACTTGTGATTGTGGGAATATATGCAGTCGGTAAGCTTGACTATGAAATCTAAACCTGTCCAGTGTGCAGCCCGTGTGTTCAAAGATTAGGCCAGAGTATCAACTATCCAAAAATAAAAACGGTATGGTCTGATTCAGCTTCAATGAGAATTTTTTATTTTATTTTTTATTTTGTATGTAAATATTTGGTTTCAACTGTATTTAATAAAGTAAATTCTAGTTGCATTATAGAAAACTTTTCTGGTCTACTGTAAGCGAGAGGTTGGGATAGTTAAAACGTTTTTCTTTTATTGAAAACTTATTTGGGTGATGATGATGATGATGATGATGATGATGATGATGATGATGATGATGATGATGATGATGATGATGATGATTTATGTGTGAAACATGGAGCTGGTTGATGATGTTAGCCTGACTTTCATTTAATTACAAACTTCCATAGTTAAAAGTTAGTGAAATCAATGCCTTTGTTGAAGTTACAAAAAGTAGGTTATCGGAAATCAATCTGGAGCCTGGACAAATTAAATAAATTCAAGTTCATAAAAACACACCCTTTTTTTAAATCTGTTGACATGAGACGTTAAATTGTATATTTGGTCCAGAAGTATTTGTTTCTTATAGCTGTGAAGTTAAAATTAGAGAGGAAAATCCTGTAGGAGTTTTGTATGTTTTTTTTTCAGTCTTTCAATAAGGAAGCATGATGGAAATATAATAAATCTCGCTATAAATTTACAGATAACATTGATTAAAAATAAGCTGCCTTTTGTCCGAAATCTTTAAACATTCGAGATGACTGCGATTGTGTTCTCAGTTTTCCTCCTTTTTCTGTCTTTTTATTAAATGGATATGTTAGCAAGGTAATATAATTGGAATCTTGTTTTTATTACATTAATGTATAAAATTTTTCCACATTTATCATTTAAAAGCAAATGTCCTATTTCATATGAAAAACCTTTTACATGATTGAAGTATTTCCCATTTCTGATGTACATTTTTCTACGTGCCCTTTGCTTCGTTCCAGGGTGTACGATGTGGCTTCCACGCCTTGTATTGGATTATTGTAAGTGAAGTTTTGCCAGTAGTTTCCTTCTATCAGTTGTTTTCTAACGATGTTCTTGAGCTTTGTGTCATCGTGTGTAAAAGTACTGCATGTAGCTGGTGTCCACTCCTCAAAGTGCTTTTGCTTCATGTGTGAAATCACTGGAAACTTGGGTTTTTGCCTTCTCGAAGAGCCCATTATTTCCAAGAACATTTAAATAAAAGATCATTAAAATGTGGAAATGGCTGTCAACTCGCTTATTTAACTTTTTTGAAAGGAAAAGAGCAATAAACGTGTCGTCTACGACGGATTATTAAGGCCACGCTAAGGACAAATAAGAAATAAAATTATGCAAATAAAGTTAGAATATCCATTTATCTGTCCATTTTCGAGACAGGTCACCAGTCCATCGCATAAGTTAGAATATTATGAAAATAATTTCGTATGGAATCATATGATAATAAACCCAGGTGTTTTGCCAGATTAAAGGATTTCTCAATCATGCAGTCAAAACAACACTCCAGGTATGATTTTGATAAGGAAACAACATAACACAATGTAAAGCTCAGAAAAACTCGATTTCACATGAAAACAACCCCTTGAAGAGGAGAAATCTTGCTAAGTGATTCATGAAATGTTTCTTTGTGTTGGCTGCAAAAGAAATTGTAAGAATACATGAAGTTCATCTACTTCATGTTCCAGATTTCAGAAGGAGTGGACACTGGAAGTGCACAGGGATTTTACCCTGTGAGACTGCAAAAAATACATATTTGTTAATCTGTGAGCATGATCTCCTTCCTTCATCCATAGCAGCATTTTCTTAAACGGACTCGGAGATTAATCCTGCGGATTAAAGCGTCACTCGTGTCACATCCAGAAGAAGATTGAAAGAATTGTCACAGATCAAATCTTCAATGACTAAATTAAAATCCAGAGATCTCAGTCTCAAAATTAAAATAATATAGAGACCCAGACAAAAGTCAAGAGGATTATGCATATTATAGTCTCAAAAGAAGGGCAGATATATCTTAATTATTTGTAGAACGGGGGAAACAAATCCTTCCAAGAAGAAAGAACCAAGGCTTTAGATGAAGATGGATGAAATGAGTTCAATATTATTACCAGTGCAGTTTCATTTTCCGCCTTTTGTTTGAGGTTAGCTGTTAATGATACTGTCGCTAATTTGGCTGTTTGCTTTCGGTTTCATATTTACATTAGATTAAATAAATAAATCATATAAAATATAATTTCAAAAACAAGGCAATAAAAGCAAAAGGACCACAATGAGGAAAAGCAGTAATCATACAGTGATACAATGCTTTGGATATTACAGTCTGTAACTTAGTTTTACACATTTTTATTGTGAATTTTTTTTTTTTTTTTTACAATGTATAGATGTCTTGACATTTTGTTTAGTATTGAAATACATTACAGATCCTCTAGAACAGTGATTCACTAAGATTTTCTTCCCACCTACGGATTACAATAAAATTCCCCCAAAAAAGAAAGAAAATCAACTGGGCACATATTGTTCAACCAGACATAAACCTTTACATTTTGTATTTTGTTTTCAAACTCCACTGAAGTTTATCTTACACTTCAGGTTGCAACAAAACACACTACAAACCATCTTTACAGTGAAACGCTTTTGTGTAAATGTTTTTTTATTTTTTTCATTCATCCATACCGCTTCCAGCGCCCCCTCTGCAATGGCATGGCGCCCCTCCTGGGGGGTGCGCCCCACACTTTGGGAACCACTGCTCCAGAACACAATAGACAACGAGGAAAAGCATCATCAGGATGTGACGATTGTAAACACATTAAACAATTTAATCCAATGCACTTAGTGATGGATGATTTATTTGTTAAAAAAAAAACTAATTGAATGATTGCAACATTAGTAAAGACAAAATGATTAGTTTCTCTCTTAGTTTATATATATATTTATATATATATCTATATGTATAGATATATAGATATATATATCTATATATCTATACATATAGATATATATAGTTATTAGAATGAGGGGTACTCTTCTTCATTTGGCCTGCTTGTTTTACCACTATATGTACTGTATAATGGCTACTGGACAGAATAAGTTCCTTGTTGTTGACTTACTTCAGCTTCTGGGTCTGACTCTGAGTTAAAGATGGACAGTTTGCAATTGGGCGTCTGTTTGCAACCATTTTCATGTGTAAACATGGTTGGAAGGGCGTGGCCAACAAAAGCTAATTTGTATAAAAGTGACAGAGGCATCCAGCAGCTCAGGTGAAATCTTGTCATCTGAAAATGATTTTGTACAAAAGAAAATATCATGAACATGTTTGGTGTAGGCCATAGACCAATTCTAACTTTACAGCGGTAGTTTATAACTTTTATTTTATTTTTAAATCTGTTTTTTTTTTAAATATTGTCATAACATAAAAATAATTTCAGAACTGATTTTTAAAATTATTAAGTTATGACTGTATAATGTGACAAATGATCTTTGAAAAAATCAAGCTCCTCCTCCTTCTCCCAGTCGTGATTTTGGAAATACACCACTCAGTGAGAAACAACCAATCAGAGCTGGGAGGAGGGTCTCAGTGCTGTCAATCATACTGGTGCTCACTCGCTGCCCCTTTCTCTTTGCTAGCCTACAGCTGGGTCACCATAACATAGCCTGCCAAGAATACTAAGTCTAGTTAGTTTAGTCACCTATGATGACGGATAAACAATTTCCCTGGAGCGGTAAGTTGTTTCTCCTTCATGATTCACTTTGACCAGAAAATACTTACTTAAACTTATCTACCAACCCTGAATAGGAGTATCCAGTTTATTTACTTTGGATCAACATTATTAGCTTTTTCTTCTTTTGCTCTTTCTTTTGTTTTGTTAATTTGTTTACATATCATTTTAAATCTTGTAAAGCACTTTGTATTATCTTGTTGCTGACAATGTGCTATATGAATAAAATTACCTTCACGGCGCTAAGCCCCGCCTCCTGGCTCTGATTGGTTGTTTCTGAACAGGGTGGAGCATTTCTTCAGACAGCAGTAGCAGATCAGGGAGGAAGTGGAGGAGTTCAATCTTTTCACATTGTGTAAAATATTACACCGTCATGTTTTAACAAACATGAAAAAACATATTTGTGTTAAAAATTAAAACTGTAAAAAAGTACAAAAACTTTTTAACTCTATACTGAAACAAAATGGTTTGGGGTTTTTTTTATGTCTGCGATGAGACGAGACATTAAATCCACAAGTATTACATTACAAATGGTAATCATTCATCACCATGCTACATTCCTAATTTAGTCATTATGTATGTCGGCCTTGATGTTTCTGATCAGTGAAGAGTTTTAATTGGATTCTGGAGAAACATCTGCTGGTTCTGGTTCATACTGGTACAATTGTATATTATTTATTACAAAAATAAATATACAAATCATTGCTTCTGTGACAGTGGATAGTTAACTCCGGGTCCCAAAATCTCCCTGAACTCTGTTTATTGTCATAAACGCTAAAGACAAGTTATTAAAGTTTAAGCTCAGAGAAATGGATCCCTGGAATGTTTTATTGTAGTGTTGATATTAGTGCAGCATCAATGCTTTGAGATGTGATTTCAATTCTCCTTTAAAAAACAAAAAAATATATACCAGAAATAGAACTTCATTTAAAGAGTTACTGATATTCCGCTGGTAATTCATCAACAGAAACAAAGACATCAGCTTTATTGATGGGGGATGGAAAGTAATAAAAAAATGTCAAAGAACCATTTGATAGAGGGAGGAAAAAAGAAACAAAACAAAACATGATCTTGACCTTAACTGTCTCTGCAGAGGCCATGGATTCCTTCATATCCAATACATGGAGAAAAAAAAAATAATAATCAACACACAGCTTCCAAAGCAGCATACCTATTTCAACATCCAATCTGCTCTGGGGGTGAGCTCGTTCTGAATGTCATTCATTTAATTTCCCCATGAATATCCAGACACGATTGGGCAGTTCTGTGCAAGAGACGACACCAGGGCGGATTAATGGGCCTGGAGATTTATGTTGGCACGATCTGAGCTGCTTTGGCTTTTAAGCTTCAATCAAGCGCGGAAATGGGAAATGATAACGGTATGAAAATAAAAAAGAATCTCCAACTGACCATCACAGTGAGAGCTGGCCTTTAGTCTGAGGAGCTGGCAGACCGCCGCTGTGCTCTGCTGAATCCCGCCGTATGTTTTGCCCATCAAGACGTTTCTTTTATGATGCGGGCGCATAATAGCGGAAGGGGGAAAAAAGAGGTCTGAAATCAGATAGCAGCACAGACAAGCAGGCCGACAAAAATAAATTGTTTTGTGATTTGTATTTTATTCACAGTGTCTTTCAGGACGCCGACGTCAATAGAACAAAGCAGGAGTTAGGCCAGGCGGTGTGTGTGCGTGTGTGTGTGTGGGCATGTGCGTGTGTGCGTGTGCGTGTGTGTGTGGGGGGGGGGTTGTGTTCATGGACAATTAGTTTGCGAGGCGGCGTTATGGAAATTGCCTGTCATTTGGGATCGCAGGTAGATGTCAGATCCTTTTAATAAATCCAGACTTTAAAGCCTCTTATAGTTCCCCTATCCATGCACAAACCTTCTTATCGTGGCTTAACGAAGGGACAACCAGCCTACTGATTACTTTTAGATTTTTTTTTTTCCGCGAAACAGTAGCTTACTATTTAAAGCAATCTAACACAATGTTCAGGCAAGACAGTTAAGCAGATTGTGTGTTTATCTCATGGAGCAAAACTTCACCAGATGGTTTCTCCTGTTTCACCACTGTACACAGTGGAATCGCTCCACCCGAGCTCATATTGGCAATCATAATAAGCAATATATTTAAATAACACGTGATACAAAAAATGAAAGTAAAAAAACTGTTACTGTCCTTTGATTTCAGATTAAGCAAATGTGGTTTTTGAAGAGAAAAAGAGAAGACAGTGGGATGATCTGCTCAATTCTATATGAAAGTGTCTTTTACAAATCTGCTAAAATTATTTTGTTGCGACAGTATAATACAACCATCACTATATTTCACCTAAAAAGGTATAAACTCTAAAATATTTTCAAAATAACTAGCCCTTTAAACAAAAACTCCAAAAACTGTTGAGACCTGCTGAGTTTCCTTTAATGAACTCTGCAGTTGGTCTTAATGAATTCTTCATTTTCTCGCACAAGAACGTTAACATGATTAAAAATATGTTTTGCGATAAGAAGAAGTGTGAATTCGTTTCAGTTCAAAAAGAGATCGAGCA